TGGCCGCCAAGTCACACTTCTGCGGGTGCTGTGTCGAAAGTTAGTGCTCGCGGAGAAACAGGCGAGCATCTTCACACAGCTGGAGCAATCGCTCACCATTGTCATTACGGGAGCCTACACCATGTTGGCCGCCCAGATGAAGCTCATCAGAGGACAACATTCCGACTTGGGCGTTTAGATCGCCAGCCAGCCACCACAGTATCCGTACTCCTTCTGTAACGAAGGAGCTCGTGAAGTTGCTGATAGAAATCATCTTTTACCGAATCAGTGCTACAGTTTTGTAGGGGCGTAGGCCGCAATGACAAACAGGCACCGTTTGTCCCCGCGCGACTTCGAAGCACGGAACGAACCAGCTAATCTAACGGCGCACATCCTACTGTTTACTGGGATCCAATCAAGCAAGGCAGCTTCAGCCCGGGGACTCAAAACAATGCCGACGCCAGCTTGACCGGCATTTGAAGCTGCATCATCGCCAGATAGGCGCAATGAGAATGTGCCGCCAGTGTCGCATGTGGGGGATCTCAGGGTAAGCACGGAGCTCGAACCTTGCAGGCGGGTTTCTGATAAACAGCAAATATCGATCGATAGGGTCTCTAATGTGCGGGGCAAGTGCTGCCTGTTGGCCAATCTGCAGCAAAGTGCGCACGTTTGAGGCATGCCAATCTTAGCGAGACACGAGGACTCCAAAGGGAAACGGATGAACTGACGTTGTCCGCTTGGTTGAACATGGACTTGTCGACTGGATTGGAGCGAGGCCCTGCGATTGCGTGTGATTTGAAATTAGAAGACAAGCGACTATTGAAGTAAGCTGGGGGAGGGCCAAGAATTGAGGGATTGAAAATTGGGGGGGGGATTTAAGTAAAGTTGGAGCGGGACAATAAGGATGCAGAAGCACAAGAAGGGGTATAAGAAGACGGGAAGGCCTGAGCAGTAGCATCCAATCCCCTATCCACCCTGCTCGATGCAGCAGATAGGGGCGCCGTTTATTATCCTCTGCGACGGCCAGAGCATCAAGAAATTGTTGTAGGAAAGGTTCATTGTATTGCGTGGGCAGAATACTGTCAGGTTGCCCAGGCCTAGACAGGAGAACGATTAGGGTTCTCAACCAAAGCCTTTGGTTCAAAAACCTTACCGCAAGGCAGCGGTGTTTTGGCATTGGACTACAAAGCCCGTTTTATGAGATGAGGAGCCACCCCCATTCCAACCCCCCAACCTGGAGGACCAGGAGGCTGAGTTTGTCTGGCCTCTAACCATTGACCAATCTGGTATGAGTGGCTCTAAAGGTGCAAAAAAAGCACCACCCAGCATAGCTCAATGGATCTCTGAGGCACGCAAACCATCGCACCACGGTAAGGTCCAGCCTCATTGCGATGGGCAACAACAGGCAACAATTGCATATTGCCGAAGACCATCATCGGGATTTGCATCCTGTCGACATTTGAGCGTCGGTCAGTTTATTCACTATCACGATGCTTCCTCACGTTACCAAATGTGTCTTGATAATTCGTTTGAATGCGAGGCATGCCCAGTATCCCAACGTTTTTCGACGTTATATCGACGCAGTACTGCATGATTGATCTCGGAAGGGGGCTAACTGAATAAAATGTCAAAAACCTTCCGAGAAAACTGAGAAAGCTGTAATAGGTGGCTTAGAAACGATGTTCCCCTGAAAACTCAACGGCTAATTTAAAGTCCCCCTCATGATAATGAAATATGATTGAACTGACCAGAGGAGGTAGTCGGGCTAGCGTATACCACCGAATGTGGGAATCTCAGGAACAGTTAGACCAGCAGCTTCGCACACTCGTA